TAATGAAATGTAATGAACGTCTGTATGTTGGGATAGCTTGGGCTGGCTTGGCACATCCCCACGCGGTTTCTAGCGTCTGTCAACATCCGGAGGCTCCGACCCATCTGAACAGAGTTGGATGGTGGCCTCAGAAACTGCCGTGGAACCACAGGTTGGATAGGTCAATTGGGGTGGAAATCATGATTTTCAACAGGCAATGGATAGATTGCAGGGAAATTCTACCGGAAACATCTGAAAACCATACAGTAGGTTCTTAATACACAAAATGTAAGCATTTCCTGTCAAATTTCCCATCATCAAATTCTGGGACACTTGGCATATCTCATCATGCACAGAGTGGTATGACTCAACAAATGGGCTATACTTGGAACCACCAAATTTAGTGATTTTATAGCAACTAAACGACCAGGATTTACCGTTTGCCCGGAATGCAATTCATGACGGCTTGACGAAGAGCCAAAACCGTGGTAATCGTACAAACATATGACTTTTGAACATATGTTGACATGGTTTTCGTGGGGATCGAAAAAGGCTTTCCGATTTCAGAGTGCTCAGAGGGGCCTTCGAAATCCCGTTTTCCAGAATCCCAAATTTTCACCTCTTTATAAGCATCTTCGCCACTCTGAACATGGATATCATATGATATCATGGATTTTAACCCTTCTTATGAATAAGACATAATAAGACTAAGAGATACTAAGAGTAATCCTTTCTTTTTGGACAGTTTGGGCGGCACCTGGCCCCAAGTAAATTCTCCCGAGTTCGACTCGAGTGAGTCGATCAAAGGGCAAGTCGAGTACCAAAAATGTCATGTTCCTGGGTAGTCTGGGAAGTCTGGTTGGGTCCAAATCAAAGTAGCAAAGAATTGAAACAAGTTCATTGTATAAAAAAACACCCCCAAAGAGATACAGTAGAACAATATAAGTTCCTGCTATTTTAATAGGATTGTACTTGCTCTTGTATGTTGGGTGCTGTTTAGCACAAGAAACTGGTCCATGGCAACCCGCCCCCATGGGTCCTCCCAAGTTACACCCCAGGTAGCCCAACGGTACTCTCCACGCAGAAAGTCCTTCCGGGCGGTCCTCAACAAAAACACCAATCATATGGGGTGAACCCATCCATTTTAGAGGATTTTTATAGGGCTTCCTGGGGGGTGTAATCGGATTTAACATCATCTAACATCATCTAACCAATTTTCCAAGGGGGTAGATTGCTTGGGGGGCCGCCATGTCATGGATTGACATGGATCAAACCCAGAAAAATTTTTGGGTGGCCTTGGAACTGGAAACATCCCGCATATGGAAGATCTGAATAAAACTAATAGATACTAATAGAAAAATAATGAAATAAGTCAAACAACTGACAAAAGTCAATGCTAAACACAATGAAATTGATTGAAAACATGAGTAAACCTATGGTAAAATGCTGAAATATGTTGATCAACTGCTGAAAACCAATGGAAAAATGCTGAAATAGGTTGGACAATAGTTTAAAACCAATGGCAAAAGGCTGAAATAGGCTGGAAATTTGCTGGGGGTATACCGTATACCGTATACGTGATTTTCCGACACATTATATTTTCATATATTTTCCATAATTCAATATTCCCCCTTAAAATGCATTCGAACTGCGAATCGATGGACGTGTTCCAGCCGACAGAATTATGGAGAAAAAAGAATAATTATGGGAAAAAAAAAAGGTCTAGAAATTTCCCGTGATAGACAGGAGCTCACCTGTCAATTGTAACCTTTTTTTTCCATGATTCTGTCGGCTGCTGTATCCCCTGCCAGGCTTGCAGGGACTGCATCGGTGACTGGGTGGTGAAGTCAGGCAATCAACCCAGGGTGACAACGCAAATTTTGTTGGAACAGCTTGCAGCGTATTGGAACCATCAACCAATGCTCCACTAAAAAGCCACTAAAAAACTAAAAGCACAGACATCTCTGGACATGTTGATCATTTCCACACAATTGCTGGGTCTCCCTACAGGCTGAGCAACCGAGAATGAAGCAACTGCAGAACAGCTATATAAAATGTTGGGTGTCTTTACGCTCTCTTGAGCAACGATCTTTCATACTCATCCATATTCCGAATATTCTACTATTTTCCCAGCCACTGCAAGAAACGCTTGTGGGCAGCGTCAGCCCATCCTGCCCACGTCCAAGCCTTTGAAAAGCTCCTTCGCACAATCCGTCCACCATCCACTGGAAAGCACAGGACCTTCACCAGATCCTGGCAAACACCAAGTCTTACAGTCTTAGCTCTCAGATGTTGCAGTGACAATCTCATTCAAAACCTTCAGAAACGCGCTTCGCTGAAGAGACAAAGAGACTCCAAATTGGACTCCAAATGCAACTTTTGAGGCGGGCGATTGCGAAAAGCTGCAAGGGTCTCCAAGCAAAGCACAGGTATGTACTGGCTGCTTGGCTGAAGAGCGCGGGCCTTTGACAGCCCATTGGCCCTTCCCAAAACTTCGAAAGATACCTCCTCTGGTGGGGATTTTTCATCCCCGCAGCCGGCTCCTAGGTCCGGCTAAAAATTCAATCAATAAATTTATATCATGTGTACAAATCAATTTGATACTGCACAAAAATGTTTGAGGCAAAAGCTGGACGAAGGACAAACCTAAAAAGCCTCAAACGTGTAGAAAAAGTGTAATAAAACTTTTGCAAAGCACCAGACCAGGCAACTGTTTCAAGTCACCGTCAGCATGGAAAAAAACTAAAGATGTGACCAAAGCAGGCCTCTCAGAGCTCCAATCTATGCTCCAACCAATGTTGGCTGCAAAGTTGTCACCAAGCTTGGGGACTGCACTTTGGTGGCTGCAGGCACGCTGTATGGCACTGAGGAGTGGTGGAGGAAGATGCGCACCTTGCCATCCGCATTCTTCTTGTAGCCGAAAGTGTACTCAACTTTGGTCTTGCTTCCATCTGCAGCGCTGGTGAAGAAGTAGTTGCCCATGGCAATGGCAACATTGCCAGTGACATCAATTTGGTGGTTGTCAAAAACCACATTTGACCATCCCTTTCCACCGTTGATGGCGAAGCCGGCATCCTCAAGATAACCCTTCTCGACCGCTCTGTGTCCAACAAAGTAGGACATGGCATCTGAGGCTGTGGGTCGAAACTGTGCTTCAGCTGCCTTGGTTGGCTTGAACAGCACATTTGTGTGTCCATAGCCATAGAGCTCACCGGCTGCTTTGGCAGCAGCTGCAACGTAGTCGCCTCCGTCAAGATAAGTCTTGGAGATACTCCTGATGGCATTGGCCCATGCTGCCTGCACACTCTTTACTTCCTCTTCAGTAATCGCTCCAGATGCAGTGGCTGCAGGCACGCTGTATGGCACTGACGAATGGTGGAGGAAGATGCGCACCTTGCCATCCGCATTCTTCTTGTAGCCGAAAGTGTACTCAACTTTGGTCTTGCTTCCATCTGCAGCACTGGTGAAGAAGTAGTTGCCCATGGCAATGGCAACATTGCCAGTGACATCAATTTGGTGGTTGTCAAAAACCACATTTGACCATCCCTTCCCACCGTTGATGGCGAAGCCAGCATCCTCAAGATAACCCTTCTCGACTGCCTTGTGTCCAACAAAGTAGGACATGGCATCTGAGGCTGTGGGTCGAAACTGTGCTTCAGCTGCCTTGGTTGGCTTGAACAGCACATTTGTGTGTCCATAGCCATAGAGCTCACCGGCTGCTTTGGCAGCAGCTGCAACGTAGTCGCCTCCCTCAAGATAAGTCTTGGAGATACTCTTGATGGCATTGGCCCATGCTGCTTGCACACTCTTTACTTCCTCTTCAGTAATCGCTCCAGATGCAGTGGCTGCAGGCACGCTGTATGGCACTGAGGAGTGTGGAGGAAGAATGCGCACCGTGCCGTCCGCATTCTTCCTTGTAGCCGAAAGTGTACTCAACTTTGTCTTGCTTCCATCTGCAGCGCTGGTGAAGAAGTAGTTTGCCCATGGCAATGGCAAACATTGCCAGTGACATCCAATTTTTTGGGGGTTTTTGGGTTTGTTTTTTTTTTTCAAAAAAAAACCACATTTGACCATCCCTTTCCACGTTATGGCAAGCCAGCATCCTTCAAGCTACCACATTCTCGACCGCCTTGTAGTCCAACAAAGTTAGGACATGGCATCTGAGGCTGAGTGGGTTCGAAACTGTGCCTCAGTGGCCTTGTTGGCTTGAACAGCCACATTTGTGTGTCCATAGCCATAGAGCTCACCGGCTGCTTTGGCAGCAGCTGCAACATAGTCGCCTCCCTCAAGATAAGTCTTGGAGATACTCTTGATGGCATTGGCCCATGCTGCTTGCACACTCTTTACTTCTTCTTCAGTAATTGCTCCAGATGCAGTGGCTGCAGGCACGCTGTATGGCACTGAGGAGTGGTGGAGGAAGATGCGCACCCTGCCGTCCGCATTCTTCTTGTAGCCGAAAGTGTACTCAACTTTGGTCTTGCTTCCATCTGCAGCGCTGGTGAAAAAGTAGTTGCCCATGGCAATGGCAACATTGCCGCTGACATGAATTTTGTGGTTGTCAAAAACCACATTTGACCATCCCTTTCCACCGTTGATGGCGAAGCCAGCATCCTCAAGATAACCATTCTCGACCGCCTTGTGCCCAACAAAGTAGGACATGGCATCTGAGGCTGTGGGTCGAAACTGTGCTTCAGCTGCCTTGGTTGGCTTGAACAGCCACAATCAGAGTGCGCCATAGCCATAGAGCTCACGGCTGCTTGGCAGCAGCTGCAAACGTAGTCGCCTCCTCAAGATTAGGTCTTGGAAATGTGTTTGATTGCATCTGACCAAGCCTTTTTGTGCCAAGAGGAACCTCAGCCTCCGATACACTCAAGGGTCACAGCCCTTGTCTGCAGTCTGCATTCCAAGGGGGACCATTGCTGCGGAGCATAGATCTGTGGTTGCCATCTGTGGATAAGCCACAGCTGGGCAGCCATGCCGCCAGGGATCTCAGCACCACTCGTCACGTAAGAGACACGAGATGGGAGCGTAGTCACGGCACCTGGAACTGCATACATCTGTTGTCCAGGGTACACGGGCTGTCCAGTGAACATTGCTAGATGCTAACACGATGGAAGGAGAAAACACCTTCAGTATCCTTGAATGGCTTCGGATGCGCCATCTACTCAACTCAATCTGAATCCATTCACTGCATGCCTGGACAATGAATTCAGATTCCTCAAGATGTTTGATCTCCAAAGTGCATGTTTTGCATGTTTCGACGCAGAAACCTTGCAAGGACCTATAAGGCCTCTAGCCTATGCTTCCGTTCTTGACTCGTATTCATCCTGATCCCAAACAGCCTTGCTTTACATCTTGCAGCATAGCTGGCCTGCGCAGCTTAAATGCTGGAACCGAGAATGAAACAACTCAAGCAGAACAGCTAGATAAAATGTTGGGTGTCTTTAGGCTCTCTTGAGCAACGATCTTTCATACTCATCCATATTCCGAACATTCTACTATTTCCCACCCACTGCAAGAAACGCTTGTGGGCAGCGTCAGCCCATCCTGCCCACGTCCAAGCCTTTGAAAAGCTCCTTCACACAATCCGTCCACCATCCACTGGAAAGCACAGGACCTTCACCAATCCTGGCAGACACCAAGTCTTACAGTCTTAGCTCTCAGATGTTGCAGTGACAATCTCATTCAAAACCTTCAGAAACGCGCTCCGCTCAAGAGACAAAGAGACTCCAAATTGGACTCCAAATGCAACTTTTGAGGCGGGCGATTGCGAAAAGCTGCAAGGGTCTCCAAGCAAAGCACAGCTATGTACTGGCTGAGTCTGGCTGCTTGGCTGAAGAGCGCGGGCCTTTGACAGCCCATTGGCCCTTCCCAAAACTTCGAAAGAATCTCCTCTGGTGGGGATTTTTCATCCCCGCAGCCGGCTCCTAGGTCCGGCTAAAAAAATCAATCATTAAATCTATATCATGTGTACAAATCAATTTGATACTGCACAAAAATGTTTGAGGCAAAAGCTGGACAAAGGACAAACCTAAAAAGCCTCAAACGTGCAGAAAAGTGCAATAAAACTTTTGCAAAGCACCAGACCAGGCAACTGTTTCAAGTCACCGTCAGCATCGAAAAAAACTAAAGATGTGACCAAAGCAGACCTCTCGGAGATCAAATCTATGCTCCAACCACTGTTGGCTGCAAAGTTGTCACCAAGCTTGGGGACTGCACTTTGGTGGCTGCAGGCACGCTGTATGGCACTGAGGAGTGGTGGAGGAAGATGCGCACCTTGCCATCCGCATTTTTCTTGTAGCCGAAAGTGTACTCAGCGCTGGTGAAGAAGTAGTTGCCCATGGCAATGGCAACATTGCCAGTGACATCAATTTGGTGGTTGTCAAAAACCACATTTGACCATCCCTTTCCACCGTTGATGGCGAAGCCAGCAACCTCAAGATAACCCTTCTCGACCGCTCTGTGCCCAACAAAGTAGGACATGGCATCTGAGGCTGTGGGTCGAAACTGTGCTTCAGCTGCCTTGGTTGGCTTGAACAGCACATTTGTGTGTCCATAGCCATAGAGCTCACCGGCTGCTTTGGCAGCAGCTGCAACGTAGTCGCCTCCCTCAAGATAAGTCTTGGAGATGCTCCTGATGGCATTGGCCCATGCTGCTTGCACACTCTTTACTTCCTCTTCAGTAATCGCTCCAGATGCAGTGGCTGCAGGCACGCTGTATGGCACTGAGGAGTGGTGGAGGAAGATGCGCACCTTGCCATCCGCATTCTTCTTGTAGCCGAAAGTGTACTCAACTTTGGTCTTGCTTCCATCTGCAGCGCTGGTGAAGAAGTAGTTGCCCATGGCAATGGCAACATTGCCAGTGACATCAATTTGGTGGTTGTCAAAAACCACATTTGACCATCCCTTTCCACCGTTGATGGCGAAGCCAGCATCCTCAAGATAACCCTTCTCGACTGCCTTGTGCCCAACAAAGTAGGACATGGCATCTGAGGCTGTGGGTCGAAACTGTGCTTCAGCTGCCTTGGTTGGCTTGAACAGCACATTTGTGTGTCCATAGCCATAGAGCTCACCGGCTGCTTTGGCAGCAGCTGCAACGTAGTCGCCTCTGTCAAGATAAGTCTTGGAGATACTCTTGATGGCATTGGCCCATGCTGCCTGCACACTCTTTACTTCCTCTTCAGTAATCGCTCCAGATGCAGTGGCTGCAGGCACGCTGTATGGCACTGACGAGTGGTGGAGGAAGATGCGCACCTTGCCGTCCGCATTCTTCTTGTAGCCGAAAGTGTACTCAACTTTGGTCTTGCTGCCATCTGCTGCGCTTGTGAAGAAGTAGTTGCCCATGGCAATGGCAACATTGCCAGTGACATCAATTTGGTGGTTGTCAAAAACCACGTTCGACCATCCCTTCCCACCGTTGATGGCGAAGCCAGCATCCTCAAGATAACCCTTCTCGACCGCTCTGTGCCCAACAAAGTAGGACATGGCATCTGAGGCTGTGGGTCGAAATTGTGCTTCAGCTGCCTTGGTTGGCTTGAACAGCACATTTGTGTGTCCATAGCCATAGAGCTCACCGGCTGCTTTGGCAGCAGCTGCAACGTAGTCGCCTCCCTCAAGATAAGTCTTGGAGATACTCTTGATGGCATTGGCCCATGCTGCCTGCACACTCTTTACTTCCTCTTCAGTAATCGCTCCAGATGCAGTGGCTGCAGGCACGCTGTATGGCACTGAGGAGTGGTGGAGGAAGATGCGCACCTTGCCGTCCGCATTCTTCTTGTAGCCGAAAGTGTACTCAACTTTGGTCTTGCTTCCATCTGCAGCGCTGGTGAAGAAGTAGTTGCCCATGGCAATGGCAACATTGCCGCTGACATGAATTTTGTGGTTGTCAAAAACCACATTTGACCATCCCTTTCCACCGTTGATGGCGAAGCCAGCATCCTCAAGATACCCATTCTCGACCGCCTTGTGCCCAACAAAGTAGGACATGGCATCTGAGGCTGTGGGTCGAAACTGTGCTTCAGCTGCCTTGGTTGGCTTGAACAGCACATCAGAGTGGCCATAGCCATAGAGCTCACCGGCTGCTTTGGCAGCAGCTGCAACGTAGTCGCCTCCCTCAAGATAGGTCTTGGAAATGTGTTTGATTGCATCTGACCAAGCCTTTTGTGCCAGAAGAACCTCAGCCTCCGATACACTCAGGGTCACAACCCTTGTCTGAGTCTGCATTCCAGGGGAGACCATTGCTGACAGAGCATAGATCTGTGGTGCCATCTGTGGATAAGCCACAGCTGGGGCAGCCATGCCGCCAGGGATCTCAGCACCACTCGTCACGTAAGAGACACGAGATGGGAGCGTAGTCACGGCACCTGGAACTGCATACATCTGTTGTCCAGGGTACACGGGCTGACCAGTGAACATTGCTGGATGCTAACACGATGGAAGCAGAAAACACCTTCAGTATCCTTGAATGGCTTCGGATGCGCCATCTACTCAACTCAATCTGAATCCATTCACTGCATGCCTGGACAATGAATTCAGATTCCTCAAGGTTGTTGATCTCCAAAGTGCATGTTTCTACGCAGAAACCTTGCAAGGACCTACAAGACCTATGCTTCCCTTCTTGACTCGTATTCATCCTGATCCCAAACAGCCTTGCTTTACATCTTGCAGCATAGCTGGCCTGCGCAGCTTAAATGCTGGAACCGAGAATGAAACAACTCAAGCAGAACAGCTAGATAAAATGTTGGGTGTCTTTAGGCTCTCTTGAGCAACGATCTTTCATACTCATCCATATTCCGAATATTCTACTATTTTCCCACCCACTGCAAGAAACGCTTGTGGGCAGCGTCAGCCCATCCTGCCCACGTCCAAGCCTTTGAAAAGCTCCTTCGCACAATCCGTCCACCATCCACTGGAAAGCACAGGACCTTCACCAGATCCTGGCAGACACCAAGTCTTACAGTCTTAGCTCTCAGATGTTGCAGTGACAATCTCATTCAAAACCTTCAGAAACACGCTCCGCTCAAGAGACAAAGAGACTCCAAATTGCACTCCAAATGCAACTTTTGAGGCGGGCGATTGCGAAAAGCTGAAACAGGTATGTACTGGTTGCTTGGTTGAAGAGCCTAGGCCTTTGACAGCCCATTGGCCCTTCCCAAAACTTCGAAAGATACCTCCTCTGGTGGGGATTTTTCATCCCCGCAGCCGGCTCCTAGGTCCGGCTAAAAAAATCTATCCTTAAAATTTAAATCTATATCCGCCGACCCCTGCTGTAGCGGGGGAGCGCGTGAAAGAAGCAACTTTTGTCAAGCAAAGGCAAGGTTTGCAACTAGTTTCTAGGCGTTCAGGAAGCAACGTTTGGAGTCTGGGCTGCCGGCCGCGGGCCCGATCCGTCCTTCACTGCCATGGTGTTTTGGTAATGCGGCAGCGTCCTTGAACCTGAGGTGTGCCAGACGAACGCCACCTGCAAAACGCAGCAAGCAATTTGGAAGCTGGCACTGCCGAACGGCTGGTAAAGGCAAGGTTTGCAGCTAGTTTCTAGGCGTTCAGAAAGCGACGTTTGGCACTCTGGGCTGCCGGCCGCAGGTCCGATCCGTCCTTCACTGCCATGGTGTTTTGGTGCTGCGGCAGCGTCCTTTGACCTGAGGTGTGCCAGACGAACGCCACCTGCGAGACGCAGCACAAGCAATTTGGAACCTGGCAGTGCCGAACGGCAGGTAAAGGCAAGGTTTGCAGCTAGTTTCTAGGCGTCCAGAAAGCAGACGCAGCAAGCAATTTGGAATGGCAGTGCCGAACGGCAGGTAAAGGCAAGGTTTGCAACTAGTTTCTAAGCGTTCAGAAAGCGACGTTTGGCACTCTGGGCTGCCGGCCGCGGGCCCGATCCGTCCTTCACTGCCATTGTGTTTCGGTGCTGCGGTAGGTGCCAGACGAACTGCAAGACGCAGCAAGCAATTTGGAAACTGGCAGTGCCGAACGGCAGGTAAAGGCAAAGTTTGCAGCTAGTTTCTAAGCGTTCAGAAAGCGACGTTTGGCACTCTGGGCTGCTGGCCGCGGGCCCGATCCGTCCTTCACTGCCATGGTGTTTTGGTGCTGCGGCAGCGTCCTTGGACCTGAGGTGTGCCAGACGAACGCCACTGGCAAGACACAGCAAGCCATTAGGAAGCTGGCAGTACAGAACGGCAGGTAAAGGCAAGGTTTGCAGCTAGTTTCTAGGCGTTCAAAAAGCAACGTTTGGCACTCTGGGCTGCCGGCCGCGGGCCCGATCCGCCCTTCACTGCCATGGTGCTTTGGTGCTGCGGCAGCGTCCTTGGACCCGAGGTGTGCCAGACGAACGCCACCAGCACGACGCAGCAAGCACTTTGGAAGCTGGCAGTGCAGAACGGCACGCAGCAAGCAATTTGGAAGCTGGCAGTGCCGAACGGCAGGTAAAGGCAAGGCTTGCAGCTAGTTTCTAGGCGTTCAGAAAGCGACGTTTGGCACTCTGGGCTGCCGGCCGCGGGGCCGATCCGTCCTTCACTGCCACCGTGTTTTGGTGCTGCGGCAGCGTCCTTGGACCTGCAGTGTGCCAGACGAACGCCACCTGCGAGACGCAGCAAGCAATTTGGAAGCTGGCAGTGCCGAACGGCAGGTAAAGGCAAAGTTTGCAACTAGTTTCTAGGCGTTCAGAAAGCAGACGCAGCAAGCAATTTGGAAGCTGGCAGTGCCGAACGGCAGGTAAAGGCAAGGTTTGCAACTAGTTTCTACGCGTTCAGAAAGCAGACGCAGCAAGCCATTAGGAAGCTGGCAGTGCCGAACGGCAGGTAAAGGCAAGGTTTGCAGCTAGTTTCTAAGCGTTCAGAAAGCGACGTTTGGCACTCTGGGCTGCTGGCCGCGGGCCCGATCCGTCCTTCACTGCCATGGTGTTTTGGTGCTGCGGCAGCGTCCTTGGACCTGAGGTGTGCCAGACAAACGCCACTGGCAAGACACAGCAAGCCATTAGGAAGCTGGCAGTACAGAACGGCAGGTAAAGGCAAGGTTTGCAACTAGTTTCTAGGCGTTCAGAAAGTGTTTGGCACTCTGGGCTGCTGGCCGCGGGCCCGATCCGTCCTTTCTTGGCGTTCAGAAAGAGCCAACTGGTCCCAGGGGTCGGCGGCATAGGGGCGCCAGCCCCACTTATAATGTGTGAAAATCAATTTGATACTGCACAAAAATGCTTGAGGCAAAAGCCGGGCAAAGGACAAACCTAAAAAGCCTCAAACGTGCAGAAAAGTGCAATAAAGCTGTTTCAAATTGTTTCAAAGCACCAGACCAGGCAACTGTTTCAAGTCACCGTCAGCATCGAAAAAAAAACTAAAGATGTGACCAAAGCAGGCCTCTCAGAGATCAAATCAATGCTCCAACCAATGTTGGCTGCAAAGTTGTCACCAAGCTTGGGGACGGCACTTTGGTGGCTGCAGGCACGCTGTATGGCACTGAGGAGTGGTGGAGGAAGATGCGCACCTTGCCGTCCGCATTCTTCTTGTAGCCGAAAGTGTACTCAACTTTGGTCTTGCTTCCATCTGCAGCGCTGGTGAAGAAGTAGTTGCCCATGGCAATGGCAACATTGCCAGTGACATCAATTTGGTGGTTGTCAAAAACCACATTTGACCATCCCTTTCCACCGTTGATGGCGAAGCCAGCATCCTCAAGATAACCCTTCTCGACTGCCTTGTGCCCAACAAAGTAGGACATGGCATCTGAGGCTGTGGGTCGAAACTGTGCTTCAGCTGCCTTGGTTGGCTTGAACAGCACATTTGTGTGTCCATAGCCATAGAGCTCACCGGCTGCTTTGGCAGCAGCTGCAACGTAGTCGCCTCCCTCAAGATAAGTCTTGGAGATACTCTTGATGGCATTGGCCCATGCTGCTTGCACACTCTTTACTTCCTCTTCAGTAATCGCTCCAGATGCAGTGGCTGCAGGCACGCTGTATGGCACTGAGGAGTGGTGGAGGAAGATGCGCACCTTGCCGTCCGCATTCTTCTTGTAGCCGAAAGTGTACTCAACTTTGGTCTTGCTTCCATCTGCAGCGCTGGTGAAGAAGTAGTTGCCCATGGCAATGGCAACATTGCCAGTGACATCAATTTGGTGGTTGTCAAAAACCACATTTGACCATCCCTTCCCACCGTTGATGGCGAAGCCAGCATCCTCAAGATAACCCTTCTCGACCGCCTTGTGTCCAACAAAGTAGGACATGGCATCTGAGGCTGTGGGTCGAAACTGTGCTTCAGCTGCCTTGGTTGGCTTGAACAGCACATTTGTGTGTCCATAGCCATAGAGCTCACCGGCTGCTTTGGCAGCAGCTGCAACGTAGTCGCCTCCCTCAAGATAAGTCTTGGAGATACTCCTGATGGCATTGGCCCATGCTGCCTGCACACTCTTTACTTCCTCTTCAGTAATCGCTCCAGATGCAGTGGCTGCAGGCACGCTGTATGGCACTGAGGAGTGGTGGAGGAAGATGCGCACCTTGCCGTCCGCATTCTTCTTGTAGCCGAAAGTGTACTCAACTTTGGTCTTGCTTCCATCTGCAGCGCTGGTGAAGAAGTAGTTGCCCATGGCAATGGCAACATTGCCAGTGACATCAATTTGGTGGTTGTCAAAAACCACATTGACCATCCCTTTCCACCGTTGATGGCGAAGCCAGCATCCTCAAGATAACCCTTCTCGACTGCCTTGTGCCCAACAAAGTAGGACATGGCATCTGAGGCTGTGGGTCGAAACTGTGCTTCAGCTGCCTTGGTTGGCTTGAACAGCACATTTGTGTGTCCATAGCCATAGAGCTCACCGGCTGCTTTGGCAGCAGCTGCAACGTAGTCGCCTCCGTCAAGATAAGTCTTGGAGATACTCCTGATGGCATTGGCCCATGCTGCCTGCACACTCTTTACTTCCTCTTCAGTAATCGCTCCAGATGCAGTGGCTGCAGGCACGCTGTATGGCACTGAGGAGTGGTGGAGGAAGATGCGCACCTTGCCGTCCGCATTCTTCTTGTAGCCGAAAGTGTACTCAACTTTGGTCTTGCTTCCATCTGCAGCGCTGGTGAAGAAGTAGTTGCCCATGGCAATGGCAACATTGCCGCTGACATGAATTTTGTGGTTGTCAAAAACCACATTTGACCATCCCTTTCCACCGTTGATGGCGAAGCCAGCATCCTCAAGATACCCATTCTCGACTGCCTTGTGCCCAACAAAGTAGGACATGGCATCTGAGGCTGTGGGTCGAAACTGGGCCTCAGCTGCCTTGGTTGGCTTGAACAGCACATTTGTGTGTCCATAGCCATAGAGCTCACCGGCTGCTTTGGCAGCAGCTGCAACGTAGTCGCCTCCCTCAAGATAGGTCTTGGAAATGTGTTTGATTGCATCTGACCAAGCCTTTTGTGCCAGAAGAACCTCAGCCTCCGATACACTCAGGGTCACAACCCTTGCCTGAGTCTGCATTCCAGGGGAGACCATTGCTGACGGAGCATAGATCTGTGGTGCCATCTGTGGATAAGCCACACCAGCTGGGGCAGCTATGCCGCCAGGGATCTCAGCACCACTCGTCACGTAAGAGACACGAGATGGGAACGTAGTCACGGCACCTGGAACTGCATACATCTGTTGTCCAGGGTACACGGGCTGTCCAGTGAACATTGCTAGATGCTAACACGATGGAAGCAGAAAACACCTTCAGTATCCTTGAATGGCTTCGGATGCGCCATCTACTCAACTCAATCTGAATCCATTCACTGCATGCCTGGACAATGAATTCAGATTTCTCAAGATTGTTGATCTCCAAAGTGCATGTTTTGCATGTTTCGACGCAGAAACCTTGCAAGGGCCTATGCTTCCGTTCTTGACTCGCATTCATCCTGATCCCAAACAGCCTTGCTTTACATCTTGCAGCATAGCTGGCGTGCGCAGCTTAAATGCTGGAACCGAGAGAATGAAACAACTGCAGAACAGCTAGATAAAATGTTGGGTGTCTTTAGGCTCTCTTGAGCAACGATCTTTCATACTCATCCATATTCCGAATATTCTACTATTTTCCCACCCACTGCAAGAAACGCTTGTGGGCAGCGTCAGCCCATCCTGCCCACGTCCAAGCCTTTGAAAAGTTCCTTCGCACAATCCGTCCACCATCCACTGGAAAGCACAGGGCCATCACCAGATCCTGGCAGACACCAAGTCTTACAGTCTTAGCTCTCAGATGTTGCAGTGACAATCTCATTCAAAACCTTCAGAAACGCACTCCACCCAAGAAACAAAGAGACTCCAAATTGGACTCCAAATGCAACTTTTGAGGCGGGCGATTGCGAAAAGCTGCAAGGGTCTCCAAGCAAAGCACAGGTATGTACTGGCTGCTTGGTTGAAGAGCTTAGGACTTCGGCAGCCCATTGGCCCTTCCCAAAACTTCGAAAGATACCTCCTCTGGTGGGAATGTGTCATCCCCGCAGCCGGCTCCTAGGTCCGGCTAAAAAATTCAATCATTAAATCTATATAATGTGTACAAATCAATTAACCCAGCTTTGCAACCCAACAGCATACCTGAATCTTCCACCTACGTCTTTTTTCAGACCCTGTGCCAAAGTCCTGTTTTTTCAGTACCCAGAAAACTTTTCAAGACCTACTCTCAAATTCAGGACCTGGCCATTTTGGGGTATCAATGGTAATGGCAATCATTGGGTGCAAACATGTGAAACCAACATTTGGTGGATATTCAAGCCATTGGCATTGATCCACGCAAATAAAAGCACTCCCAGCCCAAACTCATGGCAAGGCAGGATCAGAATATAGTATATTCCAGAAAGTATGTCAGAATAGATGCCAGATAGGATGCCAGAAAGAATGTCAAATAGAATCTCAGAAAAGAATGTAAGATAGTATGTCAGAACATATATGCCACATATACGTCCAGATGATATGTCAGAAACTATGTCAGAATAGTGTGTCAGGGTGGGGATCACTCTTAGTAAGGCAATTTTGAAAATATATTTCAGGTTCGGATTTTCAAACTGTTGTCCTTCAGGCGCCGAAGCTCCCGTTGAAGGTCAGCATCGCCCCATGTCAACTGGTCCAGTCCCACTTCCATTTCAACAAGTCCAACTTCATCGATTAGGGTGTTGGTTGAATGGACTTGGGACTCTAGCTGGCACGGCATCCCTTGTAACCCTGTAGACACTGTAGTGGGCAAAAAGATTGTAACACACAGAATCAGCATCATTTTGATCAGGCATTCTTTTTGCTAATCCTTTCTCCCTATTACGAAAAATACCCCCAAATGACAAAAACTAGGTGCGATTTCCAATTTTGGGAAATGTCAAATTGGTTAATCTGATTTTTAATTGATCCCCTTGAGGAAACAATTTAAAAAATGAAGGTACCATGTGAGGGTTTCACCCCCAAAGAATAAAAAACTAGTCAACACCGGGGTGTCTTTTATTGGGGTCCGTCCTTTAAAATCGTCAAATTTAGTTTTTTTAATTCAGGTGTTGGTGTTTTATTTGATACTAGGCGAAAGCTTCGAAATCCTATTCTTGGCAGTATTCTATTTAAAGATTATTTTCATGGATTTTGAAATTAGAAACAAAAAACGGTTTAATCCCTTCCCCCTGTTGCTAAACAGTCGCCCCTTCACCCACCCACCCAAATAACAAACACCTGGAGGAGTTTTTAGTATTGGGGGGGTCTTTAGTATTAGGGTACGAAGCTTCCCCCTAATACTGATAAAAAAACACACACACACACATATATATATATACACATATTTCTATTTCAAAATCGATCAGATTTCTTTCTTTTTAAATCCAATTAAAATATGGCAAACAAGTGGATTCCGAAGCTTAATATCAAATAAAAATACCCAACATAAAAAACTATGTATGTTTTTCTATTTCGAAATCGATTAGATTTCCTTTTAAAAATTAAATAAAATATGGCCAAAAAATTGGATGTCGAAGCTTTTCCCTTATATTAAACCCTAATATCATTTTGTTTTTTTTCCTGTTTCAAAATCGATTAGATTTCATTTTGAAATCTAATGAAAAAACAACAAAAAATTGATTTTGAAGCTTTCCCCTAATATCAAATTAAAATCCAATTATTAAAATATGTTCAAAAATTAGATTTCGATGCTTCCCCTAATCTTGCATGAAAAATTCCAATATAAAAAACTAAATTTGTTCTATTTCAGAATCGATTAGATTTCCTTGTAAATTCAAATTAAGATATTGCCAGAAATTGGATTTCGAAGCTTTCCCCTCATATTAAACCCTCATATCAAAGACTATTTTTTCTATATCAAAATTCATTAGATTTCCTTTTGAAATCTAATTAGAATATGGTCAAAAATTGGATTTTGAAGTTTTCCCCTAATATTACATAAAAAAACCCTAATATAAAATATTATTTTTTCTTTTTTGAAATCGATTCGATTTCCTTTTAAATTGTAGTAACAAAAATAAAAACAAAAACCGGATTTCGAAATGTTTCCTCTAATATTAAATTACCAGCCCTAATATATTTTAAAAAAAACTGTTTCAAAATCGATTAGTTTTCTGTTTAACATATAATTAAGATATTGCTAAAAATTGGATTTCGAAGTTTTCCCCTAAGATTAAATTAAAAACACTAATAAAAAAAAACTATGTTTTTTCGATTTCAAGAATCGATTAGATTTCCTTTTGACATCCAGCAAAAATATTGCCAGGAAATGCCAAAAAGTGGATTTCGAAGTTTTCCCCCAATATTATATAAACGTTGTAATATAAAATACTTATTTTTTCGACCTTAAAAGACCCTAGTTTAAAAAATCACCGGGGCTGACTAGTTTTTATTTTTTGGTGGTGAAATCCTGAAATGGGACCTTCATGTTTAATTTGTTTTTGAAAAGGTATCAATTAAAAGTCAAACTGGCCAGCCTGAAATTTCCCAAAATTTAACGCGGACCCTAGTAAAAGGAATCAATGTAATATTTTAGTATTTAGGGTACGTTTAGTAAAAGGAGGTGGGGATTAGTAAGGTTTTCAATTTAATATAAGGGGAAGCTTCGAAATCCAATTTGGCAAGATTTGAGTTAGATTTTGAATAGGAATTCAATCGGTTTTGAAATATAAAGTTCATTTTTTAAAACGAATGTTTTCAATTTAATGTCAGGGGGAAGCTTCGGAATCCAATTTTGGCAATATTTTAGTTAGATGTTATTTAAAAAATGTTTTCCAATTTAGTTTTTTTAACCAAGGGGGAAGTTTCGCACCCTCATACTAAATACCCACTAAATACAAAAAACTATTCCGTGTGTTCATTATTGGGTGGGGAGGGGCAGACGGTTTATTATGACGCAGGGATTGGTCAGGCATCACTTGCTGGAATTATTGGATTCTTTTGGGATGATTGGTATGATGTTTAGTCAGGCATGGTTCCCTTCAGTCATGCACGATTTTTGCAAAAATCCTATTTAGGCACGACCCCAAAATCCCAGCCCGGCAAATTCCGGCCCGGGCCCGGCAAATTCCGGCCCGCGCCCTGCAAATTCCGGCCCTGCGTTTTTCCAAAATCAGGCAAAACCAGTAAATCAGGTATTAAGTCAGGTGTAGTTACCTTTTAAGTCATTAAGGCTAGTCAGGCATGGTTCCAGTGGGTACCTTTTAATTGTGAAGGCTAGTCAGGCATGGTTCCCTGAATTCAGGGGCATGGGTACCTTTTAATTATGAAGGCTAGTCAGGCATGGGTTCTGTTAAGTCAGGCGTGGGTGGGTACCTCTTAATTATGAAGGCTAGTCAGGCATGGTTCCCTTAAGTCGGGTGTGGTTACGCTTTAAGTCATGAAGGCTAGTCAGGCATGGGTACCTTTTAAGTGATGAAATCTGAATCAGGCGGAGCTCCTATTCTAAATGTGTTAAATCCAATTGTTCAGTGTGGAAAATCGATTTTTTGGCTGGTCTACGGGCAAACCCTGTGTCTTCCAATACCATAGCGTGCTGATGTCGCTTGCCTGCATAATAGTTAAGGCCAAAGCTTAGGTCATCAGTGTGATCCTGAAATGGCGCCACGACCAAGAAGATGACATGTGTAAAATGGGCCCTGGATTAACAAAGGCTGACTAATGAATTTGGAGGATGCCACTAAAGTATGACATGTAAACACTTTTGAGGAGCACTCTATGGCACGCAGCGCGCGCAGCCTGCTTTACGGTTTAGCGTTTGAAAGTTTTAGGCTTTGCCTCTATGGCACGCAGCGTTTGAAAGTTTAACCGTTTACCTCTATGGCAGGCTGTGCGCGCAGTACGCGTTACGGTTTAAAGTTTGAAAGTTTTAGGGTTTATGTGTCGCACGCAGTGCGCGCAGCGCGCATTAGGGTTTAGGGTTTGGAAGTTTTATAGTTTATTTTATTGCA